CCATGTAAATTTTATTCGGTACGGTTGGTATTTTTTTTGGTTATTTTTATAAATAAACAAAACCTACCCTTATTAGGGCAGGCGGTTTTATAGATTTATATAAGAATCTACGGTTTTTAAAAAGAAATCTAAAAGTGTTCGGTGCGGTACGGCGTCGTCGGGTCTTTAGTCGGTTTTTTCGAATATTTCCATTAGACACCCCTAATTAAAAACTGCTAATTGTTGTGCAGCTCAAGTTGCTCATATTTTCTAAGATTTTATTTTATTAACTCTTTAGATTGATTTTATTATAAATTATTACTGATCTAAGAATTGTGTCACTTATAAAGGAATAAACATTAAACAAGTGGATCCCAAAATTTTTTATGCTTCCGTTGGTTCAAGTAAACAATTCTCCTTATCTGCTAATAAAAAAAAGTTATTATAGAATACTAGGTACTTTTAGATTTTTTCATCATAAAATTTTAAGGAATATTAATTTTAAGATATGGTGTATAATTTTTCCGTCTCACTTGACAATTTTAAATTTTGCTAAACAGTGACAATTACTTTAACACGAGAACAATTTTATTAAGTTTAGAAAGTTATTTGTCTTTGTTGAAGTTCACTACGAGTTTTTTTTTTCCAATCTTGATCTTCAAAGATTGAATTTTTCTAAAAATAACTATTTACTTTAATTTACTTTAAGGTAATTTAATTGGCTTATCTTTCTTTTTAAGTATTTATACTATTTGTGTATTGTTATTAAATTGTTTGAAGTTCCCATGATGAAGAGGTCATCGGGTCATAGTCGTGCACTTTTGCTGTATAACCTAATAGGCGTAAAAACTTTGGTTTAATATAAAAAGGTTGACAAAGTTTAATCATTTGTAAATAAACCTTTATTTTGTATTATTAAAAAAAACGAAAATAAAACTATAACGAAAAATAGATGGCAGACTTGCAGTATGATATGGTGTTGTTTAAACCCATGTAAACTTAAGTACTGCATATTGTTGCGCCAATGCATATAAGATAAATTTTACTACTTTGTTGTAATTTTTATTACGGCATTCAAACTATTTTTTATTGATTCTTCTTTTTGAATAAAATTTAAATAGTTTTGATCGATTTTTTACGATCTTTACTGCTTTGTTGGTACTAAAATACTTGTGTACAAATTGTTTCAGGTATACTCGCAATGGCAATTGAAACAAAAATTGACAAACAAACGTGTGCCAAGTAACGATTTAAAAAGCTGAATTTTCAAATAAAAGTCTTATTTACTTAAATAGATTAATCAAAAGAGCTTACAATGATAAATGTTAGAAAATTCATGTTGTATCAATGTACTATCGTATGTAAGCGCAAGACAAAAAAAATGACATAAATTGTATCCAAGGTTCTTTTTTCGGAATATTCCTTTTAAATATCCAATAATTTTAATTCTATTGCGCTTTATAATCATTAATTAAACTTATTTTCATCTAAATACATTGTTACATTTATTGGGCACGATTTTCTATTCATAACATAGTTTTAGTACTGTACGTGACATCTTTTTACTTAAAACTAGGTCTCAGAAAAAGGCGGTAATCTAACACATAGTACTATCTTTTTTTTTCCTTTAAAGAAATTAATAGAATTTTCGTCCATATTTATAAATCCCCTCTATTTTCATTTACTCTTTCCATGTCCTAGACTTCTTTATTACTATGGATATATTACTCCATAACATCTAGAGGCTCTAGACTCGTGACTCTAGATCTATTGGGGGAATGTTTGGATATTCGTTATTATATTCCGTACTATTTTATTTAGATTCGGATTGGAACTTTGATATTTGCTATTTTAATCAGATTATTTGTTAACGGATTTCGTATTTGGGTTGAGAGTATTTAATTTGGTCGGGCTTGCCTAGCATTAGTGTTGGGCGCCATCACGACCGGGATTGAGGTCGTGACAACTTTAGGATAATTTAATTGCTTTATCTTTCTTTAATATTTATACTATTTGTGTATTGTTATTAATTGTTTGAAGTTCCCATGATGAAGAGGTCATCGGGTCATAGTCGTCACTTTTGCTGTATAACCTAATAGGCGTAAAACTTTTGGTTAATTAAAAAGTTGACAAAGTTTAATCATTTGTAAATAAACCTTTATTTTGTATTATTAAAAAAACGAAATAAACTATACGAAAATAATGGACAGACTTGCAGTATGATATGGTGTTGTTTAACCCATGTAAACTAAGTACTGCATATTGTGGCGCCAATGCATTATAAGATAAATTTACCTACTTTGTTTAATTTTTATTACGCATTCAAATATTTTTATTGAATCTTCTTTTGAATAAAATTTTAAATATTTTGATCGATTTTTACGATCTTACTGCTTTGTTGGTACTAAAATACTTGTGTACAATTGATTTCAGGTATACTCGCAATGGCAATTGAAACAAAATTGACAAACAAACGTGTGCCAAGTAACGATTTAAAAAACATGATTTTCAAATAAAAGTCTTATTTATAATAGATTAATCAAAGTAGTACAATGATAAATGTTAGAAAATCATGTTGTATCAATGTACTAATCGTATGTAAGCGCAAGACAAAAAAATGACACTAATTGTATCCAAGGTTCTTTTTTCGGATATTCTTTTAAATATCCAATAATTTTAAATTCTATTGCGCTAAAATATAATTAAACTTATTTTTCATTTAAATACATGTTACATTTATTTGGACGATTTTCTATTATACATAGTTTATACGTACTGTAGACAATTCTTTTACTTAAAACTAGTTCTCAAAAAAAGGCGGTATCTAACACATAGTACTAGTCTTTTTTTTTCCTTCAAAGAAATTAATAAGAATTTCGTCCATATTTATAAAATCTAGGCCGTTTATCCAATTAATCTTTTTCATAAAAGTCCTTAGTTGAGGTGGATCCAGCAGAAGGGACGCAGAGAAAAAAGGAGAAAGAAAAATGTGGAGCTCAGGATTGCTGATAATAGCGCTGTTGTTGACAGTAGAATGTATGGAAGTAGGTTTAAATACACTGAATAAAGCAGCCACCACCAGAGGAATGAGCAATTTCGTTTTCATCTTCTATGCCAATGCCTTGGCCTTGTTCTTCCTCCTCCCTTCCACCTTCATTTATCATAGGTTAATTAATTTCTGCAAAACTTTATTACCTTACCTCTTTGGTTCTTTTCATTTTTATCCTTGTATTTAGAAGTTGGCCACTTTTTCAAAAATTTGATTAGTGGTCTCAAGCTCGAAAGTGATTAAAATTTTGAGTCCATTTTTTTTTTTTTTTTGAAAAATTGGCCATAAAAGTGGTCAACTGTCATGTATTGTTTTTTTTTGTTCACTGATTCTTGATTAATATGTATACAGCAGAATCAGACCTTGCAGAAAACTCGATTTCTCAATGTTCTGTAGGATGTTTCTTCTTGCCCTTCTCAGGTACTACTTGATGAAATTGCAGAATTTTCTTTTGTTAATGTTGGTAATTATTATGACTGTTGATTAATGGTTTTAAATGTTTTGATTTGTGGGAATTACAAAAGCTGCTCTGTGCAAATATTGTTGTATTTTGGGATAGAGTATAGCAATCCAACTCTGGCCTCAGCAATGACAGATCTTGTTCCGGCTTTCACTTTCCTAATTGCTGTAATTACCGGGTAAGAGCAGTTTATTAACTCCAATCATTTTCACCCACTTTCACTTCAACTATGTTGTCTAATAAGTTACCCTGACAACATTAGTGTTGTCTAATAGGTTTTTAACTTTATTTTTCACCACATGGAATGTGTTTGAATAGTAAATTAAAATTTTCTCCACCCTTAATTAGAGTTTGTGGTCGTGCTTAGGGGTGGCAAACGGCCGGGTCGGGTCAGATATATGACGGGTTAAAAATTGGTAATGAAAAAACGGATAAATTATCCGACCCGACGCATATTTAATACGGATAAAAAAAGGGTTTCATATTATCCATGGCTTCATGAGTATGATCACTTTTGGGAGAATTCAAAGTTTCCCAAACTTGAGAAACCCCCAATTTGAGGATTTACAAATATAAAAGTTAAACCCATTAGTTATCCACTTGGTTATCCATTTTCTAAATGGATAATATGGTTCTTATCCGTATTTAACCCGTTTTAAAAAAATATATATTATCTAACCCGTTTTTTTAGTTGATAATATGGGTGGTTAACTGTTTTCATTTAACCATTTTACCATCCCTAGTCGTACCTTAGGAATAAAGTCCGCTTTGATAGGGAGCACTAAAGTGGAAACCGTCTGGACTTTCTATGCCACACCTTTAAATTAGTTGGATAGTGAATTATGGAAAGCCTTTGGCCAAGCATAGCCTTGAACATACTTGATCGGAAAATTATATTGCGTATATAGAAAATTATATGTATTATGTATATAGGTCAAAAAGTTTACTTTTTTTAAATATATATTAAATCTTGAATACCCTATATAAAATTCCTGATCGCGTTGGACTGAATGGTTAAAACCCAAAAAAACTTTATTTTTTGAATAGTATTGTTTTGTGATATTTGCATTGCTTTGGTCTTATGAGCAGGATGGAAAAGTTAGGATTGAAAGTGAAAAGCAGTCTGGCAAAGTTTATTGGGACAATAACATTACTAATTGGGGCACTGCTTATGACTTTTTATAGAGGCCCTCCCATTATTTTCAATAAATCAAAATTTCCTAAATATTATCATCAACTTCTCATCACTACAAAATCAAGTTGGATCCTCGGAGGTTTTCTCCTTGGTGGTGCTAACTTCTTGCTTGCACTCTTATATATCGTCCAGGTAATCTTTTCATCGAGTTTAATTTTTATACACTGATAGTATAAAATACTTAATTCTTAATGTCGAGATTATATCATTTTATGTTCAGGCATGGATTATAAATGATTTTCCAGAAGAATTTATGATGACAACAGTTACTTGTGGCTTAGTAACAATCATGTCAGCTGTGGTTGCCTTAATTGCTGAACGAAATCCGAGTTCTTGGAGACTTAAACCAGATTTGGAGTTGATTACTATTTGTTACGCTGTAAGTAATTAACTTTTGAAGAAAAATATACTTCATATTCTGTTTAATTACAATCTGAAAGTTAGACCAATATATTCATATCACACGTTAGTTAAGCCTGCTAAACTAGCTGAAGTAATAATCAAACTGCTGCTAATTAAAGATGGATGTACTTAACACTATAATAAAAAGAGCTTACTTTATGTTTTTGCAGGCAATTTTGATGGTTTTCCTTAGAAGTCTTATTTTTGTTTGGGCATTAAAGAAGAAGGGACCTGTTTTTGTTGTAATGGTTAAGCCACTTGGAATGGTAGCTGCTGTAATATTGGGGGTTACTTTTCTTGGTGATATTCTTCATGTTGGAAAGTTAGTCTTTTTAACTCCAAAAACTTGAAGATTAATTGTTTCTTTTAGTCTTTAATTTATTAGTTGATGTCTAATTGCTTTTTGAATAAAATATTAATATTTGCAGTGTAATTGGTGGAACGATCATAGCTTTGGGTTTCTACTCTGTGATGTGGGGAAAAGCTAAAGAAGAAATTTGTGTTGAAGACATAAGCATGGATACTGGTTCGGCCACTACCACAGTACCTCTACTACATAGGCAAAGTCATAATCCTTAACTATAGGTGTTTTCCTTTTTTCAGTTGTATTTATANTTTTATTTTCTTCTTAGTGAATGAGAAAATGCATGTATGTGCAAGTGTTTTTCAATATTTTGACAAGGAATCAGTGGCATACAGAGAGGCTGATCCAAGATTTAAATCTTATAGGTTCAACTTTTAATTTTTTAGCATTGAACCCATTTATATTTTTAAAGTTATGTGTCCATATCTACTATTTTTACAATTTTAATAAATTCTTACATATAAATTTTTACTCCGCGTAATTGAAATCGTCGAGTATACACTACATCCGCCCCTGGTGGCATAGCCAAAATTTTCACTAAGGGAAGTTAAAATATAAAGAAGTACACACGTAAAGAAGCCAAAAAAATTCAACAAATAATGTATATACTGTTAGTAAACTGTATTTGTAAAATAACTCTGGAAAATATAAAATAATATAAAAAGAAATATAGATGAAACAAAAATCAATTCGAGCCCACTGAATTCACAGTGTTTCCTTAAGGAATTTAATCCCCTCCTAGTACCCAAGGTTTTGGATTATTTCCTCCCAGGATAGAACGAATTACACATTAGTGTAGCGGTACTTCAAACCAGCGAACACAAAGTTCGGTAGCAAATCACACTTACTGTTGCTTTATTTGAAGTTAAAACAATGCAGAAGAAGGAGGAGAAAGTCAGAAATTTGTATGGAAATTCTGAGCAGAATGGACTTGTATTTATAGCCAATGTTGGGCTAAAATCTGAAGAGGTGCAACTCTTCAAAATGGCTGTTTATGCAAAACGGCCACAGCATAAATGCCACAACATAAATGGCTATTTACTCAAAAATAAAGAGGGAAAATAAAGGGGGAATTTGCAGCCGTACCCTATTTTTATGCCACATTTTAACCTATACCCTGTTTTTAAAAACTATTGATTTCGTAACCAATTAACAAAAATTCCGTAATAATATGACCATTATACCCCTTCCAAAACATATAAAAGTCCGTCTCTCCTCCGTATTCCCAGATTCAAATTCCAGATCTCCTCCGTATCTCCTCCATCAGTCCGTCTCTTCGGAGATCGCGTCTCGCATTCAAATTCCATATTCAAATTCAAATTCCAAATTCAAATTCAAATTCAAATACATTGTAAATATTTTTTGTATTATATGTTTTCTGATTTGTTTGAGCAACTTCACTGATATGCTGTATTTCTGTTTGACGATGAATTCTAACATTCTAAGCTGAAGTTATTTAGTTAACGAGCTAGCAAATAACACAACGAAGAAGAAATTATATTAAAACATTATATGATTATTGTAAATCTTCGGCATAGTTGCTGAAGTATTTTTGTTAATAATTGAAAACTTCGCCATAGTTGCTTAAGTTTTTTAGTTATTACTTAAAAACTTCAGCAGGCGGAGCTGAAGTTTTGCTCCTACACTGGCTAAATTATAATTTTATATTGCATGAAAAAACTTCGGCTTAGGTGGTGAAGTTTTTTAGTTATTGTTTAAAAACTTCAGCAGGAAGAGCTGAAGTTTTTTAGTTAATATTTAAGACTTAAGCAAGAAAAAACTAATTAACTTAAACATAACAATAGAAAAAAGGCACAAAAAAATAGAGACAAAAACTTAACATTTCATTAAATATTAAAATCATAAATTAACATGAATAACAAAATAGCAAAAATAACAAAAAGAAAAATTAATTGTCATCATCGTCGTCGTTGTCGTTGTCGTCGTTCTCACTACCAGATGGACGACCATCTTCATCAGGAAGATTATCAAATCTTGCATATATCATAAGCCTATCGAGCTTGTGGTTGATTTCTTCGAGCTCTCTGTCATATTTGTCTATCACCTCATCCAGTTTTAATTCAAATGCCTCCATAATGTCTTGCTTCAGCTCTTCCACTATTTGCCTTATGACAGCATCCATTTTTCTTCTTTTTGTATTTTATGTATGCTAGAATATATTTTTTTGAGTGAATAAACTCTCAAAGTATAGCGTGCTTTTATAGGTGAAAAAAAATTGTGCATGGTATATGAAAAGGCAAAGAGGAATTTTAAACGTTGTCTAAAGAAAAGCGTGCATGAATGTGATAGGAATGTAATTATTAGACTAACACATAACCCCAACGGAATATAATTACTACTTTAATTGTCTTTATTATGTTCACTCCTGTGTACTATGCAATTAATGCTGAAACGTGTTCAAGTTTGTTGAATTCATTTTCAAATAACTTCAACTCAATGTGCTGAAGTTATTTAGTTCATTTCTAAAAACTTCTGCTCTTGACAAGCTGAAGTTTTTCCCCTGCACTCGATAGGTTTTTGTCCTAAAGCTTTTTCAAATAACTTCAGCTCAATGTGCTGAAGTTATTTAGTTCATTTCTAAAAACTTCAGCACTTGATAAGCTGAAGTTTTTCTCCTGCACTCGATAGTTTTTGTCCTAAAGCTTTTTCAAATAACTTCAGCTCAATGTCCTGAAGTTATTTAGTTCATTTCTAAAAACTTCAGCACTTGATAAGCTGAAGTTTTTGTCCTGGACTCGATAGTATGTGTCGTAAAGCTTTTGTTTATTTAGTGTATTTAGTGATGAGCTGAAGTTTTTGTCCTACATTTGACACTTTTGTTATGACTTTTAACCAAAACTACAGTCTACAGGATGAATGCGATTTGCGTTGTTATAACTTTCAGTGGGAGTTGGACTCCTGATTTCAAATACTTGGATCATGATACAAAACTTGTTCTACTTAATAAGGACATATCATTCAATAGTTTCCTGAAGAAAATTAGTGAAGTTGCAAATATTGATTCAACCAGATATCTACGAAAAGTATGGTTTGATATCAAACTAAATAAAAGCAAAGGAATGCTTGTAACTTCAGATGAAGAACTCAGTACGTGTATACATTTGCTTACAACTGATTCAGCCTACAAGAATTGCCATTTCGTCATTGAAAAAATACAACCTTTAGAATCTGCAGCACTCAACCAATGTCTTGCATATGCGATAGATTCAGAACCTGAGGCTGATTATCAACATGAAGTACGACAGCCAATAATGGAAGTAGACAACGGGCAACAACCTTCTAACATTACAGCTGCTTCAGAATATATAGTGCTGCCACAATTACCCCCTCTTCCATATATTCATACCAGTTTGTCGATGAGCAAGAAGAAGAAGGACAGCTAATAATGCAAATTGACAACCAACACACAATCCAACAAAGCTTTTTGTTACCTTCTGCAATGATAAGCAACAACGAAGATGAAGTAAACATGGAGCTTATACCGATACCATCAGATAGAATTGAAGAAATTGCTGAAACTTCTTGTGCTTCTCAGAAATCAAGAAAAAGAGTGAGGAGAAAGCTGAAAGAATCTCCACCATGTAAAATACTAAGGCACGATGCGTCGCCTGAGGAAGTAAGAGTCGGATCAATCTTTGAGAACAAACAAAACATGACTAAATTTTTCTGCAGCTTGGAGATAAACCAGAAAGTTGAATTCACTGCTGTTAGATCATGTTCCAAGAGATATGAGCTGAAATACATCGTGGACAAATGTGGTTGGAATGTACGTGCTACCAGAATAAAACATTCCACACTGTTCAGGGTGATAAAATATCATAACATCCATGAATGCTCGGTTGATGCAGGAAAATCAGATCAGAAGCATGCTACATCAAATTTTATAAGTGAATAAATTATAGAACATGTTTGAGACAAAAAGATAGAGGTTACACCAGCCTTTGTAGAAAATGAAATGAAAAAGAAATTTGGAATTGACATTGGTTATCACAAGTCATGGCGTGCTATTCAAAAAGATGTTGCTTGCATAAGGGGAACACCTGAAGAGAACTACCAGATTCTTCCTTCATACCTACACATGATGGTGGCCAAAAACCCAGGAACGAACACAAGCATAAAAAAAGATGCTCAAAATAGGTAAGCAAAACAATACTAACCATAAGCCTGAAGTTTCAAATGTTCCTATTCGAAAAAATTCACACCTTTTGATTTGTTTTTTTTTGTGTTTCACTGTACAGATTTACTTGCATGTTCTTTGCTCCTGCGGCATCAGTAGCTGGTTGGTCCTACTGTAGACCCGTTATTGCAGTAGATGCAACGTTTTTAAAGTTCAAATATCGTGGTGTTCTATTTATTGCTATATCAAAGGATGCAAACAATCAAATCTTTCCTCTATGTTTTGGTGTAGCAGAATCAGAAAACAATGAGGCATATATTTGGTTCTTCGGGGAAATGAGAAAAGCAATTCAAGTCCGTCGTGAGCTGGTTTTCTTGTCAGATAGAAACCAATCGATCGCAACTGGGATTAGAAAATTTTTTCCTGAAGCTCACCATGGTATCTGCCTCTATCACTTTGAGAAAAATTTAAAGCAAAGACATGCAAAAGCCACGGTAATAAATCTTTTTCAAAGTGCTGCAAGGTCATACAAACGTGAAGATTTTAATCAGTTAATGTCCCAACTCAAAAGTATTGACAAAAAAACATATAATTACATAATGGAAGGGCCTCCCGAGAGATGGGCTCGATCTTGGTTCCCACGGCGACGTTATGATATGCTAACAACAAACATGGTAGAATCAATAAATTCCGTTTTCCTAAAAGGGAGAGAAATGCCTATTTTAAGAATGTTAGATTTCATCCAAGAAAAGTTGGGAGAGTGGTTTTACGAACGGAGAAAAAAGGCAAATGAAACTTTTCACAGAGTATCAATATGGGCAGAAGAAGAGATGACTAAGAAGATGGACTTGGCTTGCAAAATGTTTGTGAGTATATTTATTAACTTCAGCTTTTTATATCTGTTGCACTGATTTACTGCTTACATTTAAAAAATTTCATACTTTTTCTTTTTGAAGCAAAAATACACTAATATAGCTTGTCTTAATTTTTTATTCCTCGTTAGGTGTTCAACCTTGACTCAATGTTGTTTAGAATAAATAGTGAAGGAATCGAATTCATTGTGGACTTAAAGAAGAGAACTTGTGACTGCCTGGAATTCCAACTGGATGAATTGCCCTGTCCACATGCAATTGCTGCTATTAATAAGAGATATTTGCAAAAATCTGATTACTGCTCAAATTGGTATTCAAGAGAAACATGGTTGAAAACATATGAAGGACATGTGAATACCGTGGGAGATCAAAAAT